AATTATTGTAAGTTTCTCTTTTTTTTTTATTTACCTGCTATATAAAATTATTTTTTATTAATAATCTTTTGATTATTAATTAAGTTAAATATATTAATTTTTAAAATTTTTAACTTTTACTCTCTTGTTTCTGACTCCACTAATACAAATTGACTAACTTCGCCCCTGAATAAAACCAAGTATACCCTACCGAGTTTGGATACCCAACTATTACCAGATTGTCTTAGGAAAGGAGTACTCTATGAAATTTTTCTTCTCTAGCTTAAATTTGAGGCTAAGTTATGACAAAGGGTGTGTTTTACAGGGACTTACCTTATCTTGACAAAGGTTAAGACAGAGGGGTAGCACAGGAGAAAGACAACAAATACAAATGAAGATTTTAAATATATTTTCTTCCAAAAGTTAAAATCTGTCCTGTACCCTATTACCAAGAGGAACATAGCAAAAGAATGTGTAATTTCGTGTATGCACTTGATATAATCCATTAAAGTGTTCTTTCTCTTGCATTATAACAAATTAAGGAGTAAGTATTAATTAGCAGCATACATATTTAGTAAATTCTATTGCATATTTGGATTAGAATTCTTTTGTTTTCTTTTCTCATCTTTTTCAAGCATTATTCAATCTATTTACAACACCCAAATTTCAAGTATTTAAGTTTAAACCAGCTATGTGGTCCTAATTTATTTTTCTGCTATAGAATTTATTCGTAGCAGGTGCGGACACAACATCCGTTGCATTGACTTGGATTTTGTCCAACTTGATGAACAATAGACATGCCTTAAAGACTGCCCAAGAGGAGCTAGATCTCAAAGTCCGCAGGGACAAATGGGTGCAAGACTCTGATATTGAGAAATTAGTGTATCTCCAAGCCGTTATTAAAGAAACATTGCGCCTATACCCACCAGGGCCTGTATCATTTCCCCACGAGGCAAGAGAAGATTGCAGCATCAGCAGGTACCACGTTCAAAAGGGCACTCGTGTGATTCTGAATTTACGAAGGTTGCATCGAGACCCTCGAATTTGGTCAAATCCTGATGAGTTTCAACCGAAAACATTTCTTACAAGCAATGCAAATGTGGATGTTCTGGGACAACATTTTGAGCTGATCCCATTTGGCTCTGGTAGACGATCTTGTCCGGGGATGACATTGGCATTGCAAACAACACACTTGACGATTGCTCGCACGCTCCAGGGATTTGACTTAACCACACCATTTATGGAGTTAGTGGATATGACTGAAGGGCTAGGGATTACCATGCCCAAGGCAACTCCACTTGATGTTCTCCTGAGCCCGCGCCTTCCTGCACGTTTGCTGATAAATCTGTAGATAACTCTCAAGCCTGTCCTGCACCTATTGCTAGCTAATTACGTTGGACCGTCTTTAGAGGATGAATAATGGAGGCCTTTAGGCTTAATTGCTTGTAGTTTTATGAAATTTCTCAGTTTTTATGTACTTAGGGGTAGAGATTGTTGGTGCAAATGGGTTTGGATTTCAAAGAGAACCAATAAAATCAACTTCAAGGCACCTTATAATAGTTCCTATTTTAAGACTTATTTTGCCCAACCTTTGTATATGTAAAAAAGTAATTATACGAATAACCTTAGGAATACAATTAAGTCAATGCCTAATTTCATCTAGTAAACCGCTAGACATGATTAGAGAGTTGTAAAGTTATTTGGCTTTAGAGCTTACATTCTACAACAAGTAGATTGTAGGAAATTTAGATATTTTTGGTAAACAATAGGAACTCAAAGTGTTTATGTCTTTTTTTGAATCTTCATTCAATTCATCACATTGCTAATGCTTTTTTTTTTTTAACATCTTAAAATGGTTGCTAGCAAGTCTTTATATAAGCTTCCAAGTGTCTCTCCTTTAAAGGCACATCTTTTCATTATGGCACCTCTTTGTCTTTGAACATGACCTTTCATATTACAAGGCATAATCTTTGGATAATGGTGTTTTTCTAATAATCACCTTGTGGAAATACTACTTTTCATATCATAGTACACAACCATTGAATCAATGTATTTAATTTCCAATAGTCTCTTTTTCAAGAGACAACTTTTGATATTGAGTTCCAAAACTTTTGAATCCATGTAGCTATTAGCTTGTCTTTGTTGGGTATTAGCCTTAGATTTGAATCATAAGGCGTAGATGTAGGTGTACAATCTAACTTACCAAATTTTATTATGATCTTTTGAATGAGATTGAGATAATGATATGTCATCATTATCTCTTATTATTCATATTCTAAGAACAACATCCGTCACACCCATATTTTTCATGTCAAGCTTGTTTGATAAGAACCTTTTTCGTGTCCTCCACTTATTCCAAGTCAATATCAAATATTAACATGCAATCCATGTATAAACAAATGATAATACATTTACCGTTATGAAACTTACTATAGACACATTTGTCAGACTGATCAATCTTGTAGCCATTAGCTAGCACAACTTCATAAAACTTTTGGTGCCATTGTTTAAATGCTTGTTTTAATCCATACAAGGACTTAATAAACTTACACACTTTTCTTTCATGACCAAGAACAACAAACCTTTCAAGTTGTTCCACATACACCTTTTCATCTAATTCACCATTTAAGAATGTTGCTTTAACATCCATTTGATGAATTGCCAATTTATAGATTGATGCAAATGCTATAAGCTCTCTAATTGTAGTTATTCTTGCTACTAGCACATATATGTCAAAGTAGTCAATACCTTCTTTTTGTGTAAAGCCTTTTACCATTACCTTAGTTCTAAACTTATCAAAATTCCATCAACATTAATTTTTAGAAGGCAATAAATAAACATGGCAATATGTAGAAGAATCATCTATAAATGTCATGAAGTATTTCTTTCCACCAATGGATGGAATACTATGCAAATCATAAATATCAGCAAGTATCAATGCAAGTAATATGGAGTTTCTTTCTACTTTAAGAAAAGAACTTCTTTCGATTTCAGTAACCATGTAAGTTTTACACATATCAAGATTTTTATGAAAATCAAGAATCAACTCCAAATTAGTCACATCACGCATTCTTCTAAAATTAACATGACATATCATCAATGAATATCCTGAAGTATTTCCTTCCAACCAATCTAGGTGCACTATGCATATCACAAACAATATCGTGCATATCAATCAATTAAGGAATGGAAACTTATCTGGTAATTTGGTGAATAACCATTTTCCCTTTTTTTTTTGTCAACATAAAATCAATCCAATTTTCACCTCAAACGAATTTGGTCCTTAGATTCTTTTTCACTTTTTTCCAATCTTGGTGTAGTTAGAAGATAGGCAACCTTGAGAATTGTAAGGAAAAAGTGCATCTTTTTCTTGCAACGAATAAAATTTCCTTCTTTAAAGCGGTCTAACTTGATAATATTGGTAGCCATCTCTTATAAAGAAGTCATTTTTGTTGAATTCTAGACACATGAAAATAAGCCTTAAAATTGTCGGAACAAATTGGGTATTTGGAATTCAAAGAGAATCGGAAAACTTAACTTCAAGGCATGCTATAATAGTCATTATCTTTAAGGCTTATTTCACCTCCACCACACAATATGCAAAAGGAGAATTATGCGAATAACCTTAGGGATACAATGAAGCTAACGTCTAACTTCTTCCTGCAATAATGAGATTAATTAAACCACTAGACATGACCTAAAGGTTGTAGAGTTGTTTAACCTTAAAGCTTACTTTTTGCAACGAATAGATTATAAGGAATTTAGATACTTTTGGTAAACAATAGAAACTCAAAGTATTTATGTCTTTTTCTGAATTTTCATATGTTCATCACACTTCTCATGCTCTATTTTTGTCTCAAAGTGGTTGCCAGCAAGTCTTTATATAGACTTACAAGTGTTTTTTTTTTTAAGGACACATCCTTTCATTAAGACACTTCATTGTCTTTGAACAAACCCTTTCATATTATAAGATACAACCTTTGGATAGTGATTTTTTCTTTAATAGTCACCTTATAAAAAATAACTTTTCATATCATAAGACATAACTTTTTTTTTTTGGAGAATAATAAAACATAACCTTTGAATCGAGGTGTCTTTCCAATAGTTAATTTATCAAGAAACAACTTTTCGTATTGAAAGACGTATCATTTCACTTTGAAAAATACAACAATTGTTATGCAAGGCAAGGACAATAGATGAAGCAGAGAACATAAATTTCTAACTGCCTTTTGGGTTTGACAAAAACTCGTGCAAGGAAAAACCCATAGACTTTCATACCTTATTAAACATCTAGAAAAATCAATCCCAATGAATAAACGTTTTCTTATTAATTATGTAAGATTTTGATACATTCTATCAAGATCTACTTCCTTTATATATTGTCAACTTGTACTGTCGTGAGTGAGTTGAAAGTTCACCCTTTTATCATTTTTAATCAACATAAAAAAAGAACCCCTTAACATTAAAAATATTCAAAAAAGAGTAAGAGGATTTATGTGCCATGTTAATAGCATGAGCACACATCATGCATGCGCTTTGCAAGAAGTTGTAGATATAGATGTCTGTAATTGTTAGCTTACTAGATCTAAAACTGAATTTTCAAGAAATAGTTAAATTGAGTATTAACATTATTATCCTTTAAACATGTTATAAAATTTAATATTTGTATTAGATATTTAACTTAAATTTTAATTAAAAATCAATTTAAATTTTAGGGGATTATATTGATTGAAAGTTACTTGGTGATTAACTATATTAATGGGGTAAATATACTTACTAGATTAAGAATTCTTAGTGACCAATAATAAGCTCTATAAATATGGAGTACGTTTTAGCCTTTAGAATTATAAAAGAGATGAAACTTCAATGTTGTTTTTATATGAGAGATGGATTTTTTGTTCGTGTTTCACCACTATAAAAAAAACACAAATTTTTGCCAATGGAATTCATACCGTCATTGCAATTCTGTAGAAATTTACCAATGGAAAATCAACCAAATATCAATTACCATATTAGGAGGAATGTACTGATGGAGTAGCGATGAAATGTTAATCAAATTTACCAAAAATCAAATTGGTAGGTATTTGATCAATATTAGGTTAAGCACCAAAAATAGAAAATGGCACCAACTTTATCTACAAACAACTCCGTTGGTCAAGTCATCTTCCAATCAAATTATCAACAGAAATATCTAACTAATTTTAGTCGATCTATTTTAATTCAAATTAAAATAAGCATGATCAAGATTCTTCCCCATTTCTCCCATTTTTCACCAACCTAAATAACTAAATCCCCTCCTCCTTAAGACACTGTGAAACCTAACTTTCATCTGAATGCAGATAGGAAATTTTTCAATAGAGATGTACAAATCGAGCTATTTCTTTAAGAGTTGTTGGATGAGTTTTCCTGACTATGGAGTTTTATATGTATCCTCCATATAGTGTTTTAATTGTGAAAGAATGATGGTTGAAAGAATAGGGGTAAAAGAAAACTAAAAGAATGTGTTTTTGCAAGTTAAAGCATGAAAGGTCAATCCATAGGCAAATAGAGTCAATCCTTGGAAGCATTTAAGCTTTAGTTAGCTTCTAGAAATGTCAAGGATTGACCCCTAAGGAAAGGAAAGTCAATCCCTGCACAACAAAAGTCCTAGAATAGCATTTGGAACATAAAAGATCAACTCCCAAGGGTTAAAAGGTCAACCTTTACAAATAAAACACTTAGAAAACTTTCTGAAATTAAAAGGATTGACCCCTAATGGCTAAAGGGTCGATCCCTGCAAGTTAAAACTAAAAATCAACTTTTGAAATTTGAAAAGATTGACCCCTTGATGTTAAGGTCGATCGTTATAGCCTTGGGAAGAAAAACTTTAACCTAAGGATCAACCCCTAAGCTTTAAAAGATAAATCCTTGGGCTACAATAACGAAAAATATAAGATCCAGCTTGAGCCTTAACTCTTATTTTTTTTCTTTCTCTCAACCTCTAAACATTCTTTTTCACTCTCCAAACCCTCATACAGCCTCTATGGACCCTTATAGCAATTATTAAAGCTTTCAACCTTGAATCCAAGGTAAGATTAATGACTTATAAGTTCTAAATCTGTGGGTTTAGCCTAATCTTCTTGTTGTATAAATTCCAGCACCAAAACCCACTTTTAAGCTAAACATTTTTTAGGGTTTTTACTATCTAAAGAAGATATTGAGGTAAGAATGTTCATAGTTGAACAATAAGCTTCAAGTTTAAAGTTTAAAGTTTATTAATGTTAGATCAAAAAATATGGATTTACTAGACTAATTTCGAATAAATGGGTTTGATAAAAGACTAGGAAACTTATAAAGAAATTATTATGCTAGGATGTGTTGAGCTCGGAGATCGTAGAACAAGTGAGGTTTGATGAAGTGAGGCGTAGAAAACATGCTTTTGTCAAGGCGAGTGGTACACCCTTTTAAACTACTTTAGTATATAAAGTTAAGCATTGTTTATTGAATTAGTTACCTTGCATGATTTGAATGCTATGTTGTTTATATCCAACTTATGTAGTACATCCAAACACCACCAAGATATATCATGAATTGAGGGAGTTGTATTGGTGGGAAAGTCTAAA